CTTTAATCAAAGTTATTTTAACAACACCAAGTCAAAATTGTTAACTTTTGTTTATTTGAATTTTACAGCTTTATAAAATTAAATAAAAAAAATTTATTAAATTTAGTTTGGTAATTGTTAAAATATCTTCATTTAAAATTTTAAAAAATTTAAAATATCTATTAAAGTTAAAACTATACTAAAATTTTTTTAAATTTAAGTGAAGATATTTTGACAACCATTAAATTAAATTTAATGAATTTTTTTATTTTTTTATTTCTTTATTAACTAGCTTCTTTGGGACTAAGATTTTTTATTTAAATATTGGGTGGAGAAGCTCACAATGGAACACTCTATTATATTAAAGAGTACAACTAGCTATATATAAAACTTTTGGTTGCCTATTTAAGTAGTCTGTATATCAGTATTACATTATAGGGACTATACTATTTACCATATCTATAACCCAACTAGGAGATTATCTATTTAAACTTTCTATAATGTAACCTATTTGTATTACCAGTATATTTCTGTTATATTTGTCAGTTGAGAAGTTCCAGATGTTTTTTTTATTTCCTTAAAATTAATTTATCTTTAAGGCATTGTTGCTAGAGCTTTTCATACTTACAATCTGACTAATCTAAACTTTAGTAACTTATATTAAGTCCAAGGACAAGTACTTGCAAGCCAAAGCCACTACCATTACCTTCTTCTGTCCTTGTAGAGTTTATCCAAACTTTAGTATCTACTATATAGACTATCACCAATATTTAAATGCTCTTAGTAATCTAAACTCTCAACTCAAATAGCCCAGAGAGACTATGATATGCTTCTGGTCTCTACAGTTAGAACTTTTTTCTCCAGTTACTTGTTTGGTAATCTGATTGGTATAGTGTCTTGCCAAACACTTGATCTTTGTTCAGATCACTGAAATTGATATTTAGATTTCTTAAATAATTCTTTATATAGTATTATCAAAAATCAGTCTACTTCTTTACTTAGAACTTGCTAAGTGAACTTTTGTGTGTTCCAATTTCTAGATTGACCCAGCTACTTTACTCAGGTTTCATGTAATTTATACATCACACTAATATTTTACAACCTTCCACAAGCTGATATGACTAAGGTTTCAGGTGCTAACCTGTCAGATTACATACAATTTGCTGTAATACATTCTGTAAAATTCAAATTTCATCACCAATAAAATTCAAACTCTTGTCCTGCCATTTGGAGGTGTAACAATTTACCAACTTCACTAAGTCACCACACTAGAATTTTTTTTATTTTAATTCTACAAAACTATAAAATTCAAATGAAAAAAAGTTTATCAAATTTGACTTTATGATTGTTAAAATATTTTTACTTAAAGAAAAATTTTGATATTTTTATTTTGATTATTTTGACTACCATTAAATCAAATTTGATAAACCTTTTTTTATTTGAATTCTACAATTTTGTAAAATTAAAATAAAAAAAAATTCATCAAATTTGATTTGGTAGTTGTTAAGATATCTTCACTCAAAGTTAAAAAAAACTTAAACATCTATCAAAATAAAAACTGTGCCAAACCAAATTTGATGAACTTTTTTTTATTTGAATTCTACAACTTTGTATAATTAAAATAAAAAAAGTTCATTGAATTTGGCTTGGTGGTTGTTGAGATATCTTTGCTTAAAATTTAGAAAAAAATTTAACACAGCTTTTATATTGATAAACATTGAGTTTTTTAAAAACTTTGAGCGAAGATATCGACAACTACCAAGCCAAATTGATAAATTTTTTTTATTTGATTCTACAAAGCTGTAGAATTCAAATAAAAAAAGTTTATCTGGCGGTTGTCGAGATATCTTCGCTTAAAGTTAAAAATCTAAAAAAATTGATCAACAGGGGTATGAATAATAGCCGCCATTCTAAAATATCACAAAATTTACGTGATAAACCCGAATTATTAAAACCCGGTTCCAACCTCTAACCCCTATATAGCAAAATTTAAATACGCATATAGTAGTTTGTACTGTATAATACTGTATACGTATAATTTATACGTAGTAGTGTAATTAACAATTTTTTAATTTTGACATATAGTATATATTAAGTTTCTTAAAGCTAAAAATTTAAACTTCTGTAAGAATTTTTTTTTATGTGTATATATTTCTATAAAAAATACATTATTAAAGCAAATTGGTAGAAAAACAGTTTAAGGAATACTGTAGATATTAAAGTTAGAACATGGTTTGCTTAATCTAACATTTCGTGTTAAATATTTAATCTTATGAGGCAGTTGCTTGTTTCAAATAAGAAATCACATCATTACGATCTTGTTCCTTTTTAAATCCTGCGAATGCCATTTTAGTTCCGGGAATATATCTAGGTTTACATAAACAAAAACCATTATTAAGAGAATAATACATGCAATCAAATAGATTCAACACTTATAGTTACTTTTTGGGATTTTCGAGGTAATCAAACAAGGTATCTTCACCCCAGATTACTCCTTTGTTCTGGTTTGCGGCGGTATAGGTAAATCCAGGAACCTTGCCGGATTGTCTGCCAAAAAGGCCATGGAGATTTGGTCCAACTTTATTGCTACCACCCTTTTCGACCGTGTGGCACTGGGCACAACGGGTCTTGAAACTAACATTAAGGTTAAATAATTTAACTCAAAATATTCAAAATTAAAACTAAATTCGAAAATGTCGACTTACAGTTTGGCACCGTTGGTAGGATTAGCTTTAGCTAATTAATGAGCCAATATCAATAAAACAGTGTTAAATTGTTTTTTTAATAGATCGGTGTTAATTTATTCGAAAATAATGGATTGAAAACTCACAGGCGTCGAAAGGCATGTTCTAATAAGCCAGCAGCAAACAGATTTTCTGATGGTTATATCTATATATATAAATATATAGTTTTTTTCTTTTTTTTTTTTTTTTTTAGAATCAATCGATGACTCCCGAATAATTCCGAATGCAACTTCCTTTTTTGGGGGACGTTTAAAGCCTGGGAAGGTTAGAAGGTTAATAGATGTCGCGGATGATCATGAAATCGGATGATGGTGAACGATAAGCCAAAATTCACCTATACTCTTTTACTAATAACTCTAACCCTAAATCCTAACTTAACTATAAAACAAAGCCAACAAAAAAGGCCCCAAAAATTCTTAAAAATCGTACAATTTCACGATCATCCGTGACAATAGATATATAGTAAAATCGCATTTCCGACACTTTTACTTAGTGCATCAAGACCGAATTAATATTTTCGTGTCGGTTTGTTCGGAATAACCCGTGACCCATATCGGGTAATTTCGTAAGTGCCAGACCCCCTTTAATCCATTTGTATCGTCAAAGTTATCAAACCTCAAGAGTTAATTAATTTGTAATTATATATTTTTCTTTAGTTCCAAAACATTTAGTAACGACTGGCACTGCCAAAGTATATTTTAACATTAGTTGCGTGTATGTGTTATAAGGTTACTTTATAACTTTGACTTTTGTACAGTCAGACCCAACCTCCCTAAATGCACGCACTATGAAAACCTCCCTAAATGCATGTCTTCCCTTGGGCTCAACTAATATAACACTTATAGATTTTTATCTCCCTAAATGCAGTACCTCTCTAAATGCACGTTTGACTCAATTTTTGCATATCATTACGTATCAACATGAATATAAAAGTGACTGATATTAATATTACGTACGTACGTACGTAGCAGTAGCAAAGGTCAAGTGTATTATTACTTAATACGTATATCTGGATTTTAATACGTATTTAAATTTTTTTATAAGATTATCTATATACGTACGTACGTACGTATGAATAAAGTTAAAAATCATGCCTAATCATATATATAATAAATAATAATGCATTGCAGCGGGATCATATTAATGAGGGGTAAGTTGATATCGATATAGGATCTTTGCTAGGAAAATGACCCTCCGAGGCTATGTCGATTTAGTGAATAAAAATTAAATATGCAGGCCATCTAGTCATCCAATTCGAATGATCTTTTTTTTATTTTGTATATAGACCACAAAATAAAATAACTAGATGGTTGGCAAATTTAATTTTTATTCACTAAATCAACATAGCTTCGTAGGGTCATTTCCTACGTAGCAAAGATCCCATATCGATATATTTGAGGGAATTAGTAATTCATAATTCATTATCAGTTATTGTTTAGGTCGATATTAATGTGGTTGATATTAACGAGGGGTCAAGTGTATGCACAGGGCTAAGAATAATTAAAATTAATAAAGTTATTGTAGCAAAGTACTTACTTTAAAAAATAATAAAATTTTTTATATCCTTTAGCACGTATGATTTATCTTCTAAAAGCTTAAAATTGCATCAATATAGATGGCCTTTCAGGCCGTCCGCATCATATGATCATCAGAAATCCTCCAATGTAATTTTAAAAACACCCTGTCTCACGTTATTCATGACCATCTTCGTTAAAATTTTTTACGCGTACTTACAATTCCGGTCGTAATTTGTTCATGCGAAAAATTATAAACGGTGATCATGAATAGCAAATAGTAAGATAAGGAATTACTTTTTTAAAAACTGTTAGGCACGAATTTCGAAAAAAATTTATCGAAAAATTACTATTTATGATTCGAAGTTTTTATTTAGATGTGAAAACTTTCACTTTTATAACTATTACTTATTGCGTACATTTCCAATATAACCGCTAGACCCTAATATACCAATTTATTTAACGTATCCTGCTTAATCGTTAAATCAGTTAGTAATTTGAAAATGAAACGAAATTTTAATAATTTATAACATTTAATAAATTTGACCGGTTTTTTGAATTTGACATTATTGACCGAAAACGGGACATATTTTGGTTTTGGTCATTATCTCAAATGAAGTAGAAATTTGATCCCTCCTAAACTACACAATGTCATTCAAAAAAGGTTTTGGTCGCAACCTTATTGTTGTTCTCGTTTTCTGTTTTAGTATAGAATATAATGGATGAGTGTCAAATTGAATAAATACAGACTTCTCATATGTAATTAATTATAAAATAAGTCAAACCTTGGTGCACATCGAATAATATCATCAACACGTATAATCATCTCTGCGGCTTCTGATGCACTAAGTAATACTTGGCGTTTAAGTTTGTATGATTCTGTAATTCCAATTTCTCGCATATCTCCAATAGTATTGTTTGCCATGTCTTCCAAAATTACCAAGCAAAAACCGTTAATACAAATTTAAAAGTCAAATTAATAAATATTCAAGCTTACCTAAGCCAAATGTAGACTTTCCCTCATAATGTGCTGCACGTAATCTGGCAACAAGATCTGCACTGTCATAACCAGCATTATCAGCCAAAATGATGGGAATCTATAAGCAAAAGAGATTGATGTAACTCGATTTTTTTCCTTTTTTGAACATTGTAATTTTTAACAAGGACAAGTGTTCATTTACCTGCCTCAAAGCCTTTGCGAAAGATTCCACAGCAATAGCTTTCTTACCAGCTGTTTTCTTAGCTTTTTCTTCGACCGCTTTAGACATAAGCATTTCAGAACAACCACCACCGAGCACTGTACGTGTTTCTTTTACAGTTTGTGTCAGTACACTTAATGCATCGTGTAAAGATCTCTCTGCTTCGTCTAATAATTGGTTCGTAGCTCCACGTAATACAATAGTACAGGCTTCTCCAGCAGCAACTCCAGAGAATTTAATTAACTGGATAGACATATTTTTCTCAATTCAGATACATTAATTATGCAGGTGAAAAGACAATTATTCTAAATAACATGCCTTGTCTTCCCCAATCATAATCTCTTCAATAAGATCACAATACCCCAATTTTACGAGTTCCGGGTGGTCGAAAGTAGATGCAATTTCACCACCTAAATAATGTTCACAGATCAGTTAAACTTAAAATGAACTAAAGATAAAATTCGCATATATAACCAAGCAATATTACCTGTTACTAGTGCTAACCTTTCAATACCATCAAAGTCAGCATGCTCGATCGACATAATACCAGAGTCAGCAAAAAGTTGTTCTGGCCAATTATAGATTAGTTGGCGGTTAACAAAACAATTAATCCCATGAGACTTTATTTTTTCAACCTTCTCCTTCATTTTATCCTATTTTTTTATTGCATAATAATTAATATGTATATCATCCATACAAGTTAATACCATAATTTTTCAAAATGTGATATCCATACTCGCTCTGCCCTTTCTAGTTCGGCCAATTTACCAGTGGCATCTACACGAACGCGAGCGCCAAAAATCTTAATTTTATCGGTATCCATTGCTGAATATGGTAGGTTTCATTGATAAATAAACCACATAATCATAAATAATGCAAAAAATAATAATCTAAATTTATGTACGTGTATTAGCAACCAATATTTTGGCATTTTCAATTCTTTTTGGTTGATTAACTCCAATCTTTTTGTCTAGAATAAAACCTATGAATTAAAATAGTAATTAGTTACATAAACTCGGATATATACGTATATCAATTTTGTTAAATTTGAATTATAAGATATACTTACCTTCATCGAGATATGAATCGATTAGCCTACCACCGACTTTCTTTATAATTTGTATATGTTCAAGATTCGTGCTGCCCTGTAAAACATACATGACAGCTTATTAATTCAGATTATTTAAAGTAATAAGTAATTATTACAAGTAACATACTTTTAGCCTTAATACAGCGTCAACAGCGAGATTAGCAAAGTAGTTTTTATCTTGAGATAGAACCTTTGAGCTCAACGTTGTGCGGGCAATATTGATCAGATCCTTTCGGAATGCATCAGGATTAGCTCTATAAAAATAAAATAAAATTAAAAAAAATTGAAGACACATAAAATAGTAATTTAAAAAAACTCACCCGTTATCGACAGTAGAATCTTCCAAAGCTTTATACGCTGCGGCACTAGCAATACGATAACCATCAATAACAGTTTGAGGATGAATTTTCTGGTTGACAAGTTTCTCAGCTTCGCGTAATAATTCTGCTGCTAGTACACAGACAGTCGTTGTTCCATCACCAACTTCATCATCCTGAACCTTTGATATATCTGCGATAATGAAATCAACTTAGGATAACATACTATATAGTGTTAACAAATCTAATGCTTTTATGATGATAATAAATCCGTTATGCAATCAACAGACGAAAACTTTGAATCCAAAAGGATACTGACAAGAACTTTAGCTGCTGCATTATCAAGGGCTATGCTTTTGAGAATTGTAGCCCCATCATTTGTAACCACAATGTCACCTTTGCTTGTCGATTGAAGAATTTTATCCTATTTATCAAGAAAATATTAAAGTTCATTTGGTCGGATCAAAGTAATATCAAAACTTGTAGCGCAAACCTGTTTCAGGTGAATTCTTCATACCATTCCCTTAGGCCCTAATGTACTCTTAACCAAATCTCCAACGGCAATGGCACCAACAAATGAAGACTAAACGAAATTATTTGTTTAATTTAGAAAGATCTGAAAATTTCTTTAATGGAATTTATTATGACATACCAAACGCGCGTTTTCTGCGCGTTCTTCTGTTGCCTCATCCTGGAAGATCTGTATAGGTGCTAGAGACTTAAAGCCGCGAAAGAATTAAATACTTATTGGATAATCATTATAATGAATCATATACGAAAATAAATATTCAACGCAAACCATGATTAAACGAAGAAGAGAGTTTTATTAATCTGGCGACCAGACAAGATTATACTTTCCACATACATTTCCATCGGCCAATCATGCACAACCAATCAAATTTCTCTATGTGCCCCCAAAATCCGGTATCCAGCCAATCAACATCAATTATGTCGATACTACACGAACGATCAGTGTATACGTTAAAATTCAAAAAACAAATCGTTTATTTTAAAACCTAAATTTTGCATATCGATATGTAACTATCTTTTGCGCAAGATTTTGGTATATATTTTTCCAAAACCTTACTCTAACGCTATTTTTGATTCTACCTCTAATTTTAATTAACGTTATGATGTTCATTTCTAGTTAGAGAATATGTTAACTAGAAAAGGGCGTGGTGACTTAGTGAACTTGGTAAGTTGTTCCCCATCAAAGAGATGCCATTGCTGTTTTTTATGTAGTCTGAACCAAGTGGTAAACAAAAGTTCAAATCTTAGTGGTGGCAAAAATTTAAATTTATAAAAATATGTTATGACAAACTGTGTATAATTTGATATTTGTAATTTTGGTTATATGCTTGTATTGGAAAGCTGTAAATAACAATAGTATAATGTATAAATATATCATATAATTTATGATGAAAGTAAGCAGAATCACATAATTGAAGATATTAAAAATTTAAAGATAAAGTAAAATATAGATTATTTTTAATAGTAATCATATTGCAAATTATATAATATTATATGATTTATATTAATTTGACCAATCAAAATTGTAAACAATAGAAATCCAACTATAATAATTTTAGTATAATTTAAACAAATTTTAATCAATCTAGAAGAATTTAATAATATACAGTATAAATATGAAATTTTTTAAAATAATATAAGAACAAAAACTTTTATTATTATCAAAAAAGGTTTTAATTTATATTATAAAATTTTAGTAAAGTTTAGTTGTAATTTTAAAAACTTTTACTAATAGCATACTGTATACTTAATTTTTGTATAAAAAATTTTTAGTATATAAAATCATATGACAAATGATCTACATTTATTATATCTTTAAGCTACTAGTATTATATTAAGAACATCCCAAGCTATTAATTACTAAATCATTTTTGGTTTAATTTTAAAGGCTGATTCTTATGAAATTTATTTTTAAATAAAAATATTTCAACAATCATTTATTTGACGATTCTCCAATCAACTGAAGAATGATCATAGTGAAACGTGACGCGGTTCTATATATAAATTACTATAGGTGCGAAAGTAGAAATTTT